ATAGAAACTATAAAGGCTAGGCCTTGAGATTGGAGTTGGAAAAAAAATGGGTTTAGCATTGTTAGGCCTTGGGAAAAGGAATTGTTTGGACAGATTCACAAAATTCTAGTTAGGATTCCATTAGGATTGGACTAAGTTTAGTGATTTAGAAAAGGTTGAGGGTTATTTTTGGTTGAAATGAAAGGTTAGGATAATATTTGATATTTATAGTAAAAATTAAGGATTAAATTTAATAGTTTATGGCTAAGGTTGGGAATACTTACTTGTAATTGTAGTTTTTAAAATTTTTTTTTATTTTAAAATATATAAAATATATTTAATACATTTAATATTTATTTTAATTAATATTTTACATATTTTTATAATAGTAAAAAGGCATAAAAGGTAAAAGTTAGAGTACCGAAAAATACTATCAAATAAAACTTATATTTTTTATTTTTTGGCCAATAATACTTTTTATTTTAATTTAGTGTTTAGGGTTTATATTGTTTAAGGGTATGTTTGATTTGGGGGGAGGGGAAGAGAGGGGAGAAGAGGAAAGGGAATGACAATGATGAATTTTTTTATCAATCAAATTATAATATTTTACAATATTAAAATTTAATTAATTAAAAAATTCATCACTTCCTCACTTCCTCCCTTTCTCTCTTTTCCTCTATTTCTCTCGTATCAAACGTACTACAGGTTTATGATTTTAGTGTTTTTAGTAATGAGAATTTTAGGATTTAATATTTGGTATATAGGTTTAGAAGTCAAGAGTTTTAGGGTTTATAGCATTTAATTTTTAGAATTTAAGTTTTGGAATTTTAAGATTTAATACTTAATGTTAGGGTTTTGAATTTGAAATTTAAATTTTATAGTTCAATATTTAAGATTTAAAATTCAATACTTAATAGTTTAAGATTCAAAAATTTTAAAATTTAGGATGTTAAAACTTTTGAGTTTAATATTTAAATTATTGTGTTAAAAATATTTTAATTAAAATAAAACAAAAAATTAAAAAAAAATCTAGAGAAATTATGACAGGATGCAAGTCTTGTTCGTTGGTTCTAATGAATAATAATTCCAGTACAATTTTTTATATCATTTTTTTATACAATTTTACATATCATTTTAATAATTAATTTTTTTATTTAAAATTTATGATATTTGATGCATTTATTTATTTAATAACATGTAAAAATTATATAAAAGATGTTATAAAAAAATAGTCTTTGTATCACTATCTATCCCCAAATTAAATAATCCAAGTTTTGGGAAAGTTAGTGACTTTAAAAGATAAATTCAAAATTTCTCCCAACAAATTTAAAAATTTATGAGAGATTTAAGGGATTTTAAGTAAATTGATCAAATGCACTGCTAAAGCACAAAAAGAGAAAAAAAAAAAATATATCCCATTTAAGTAAAACTCATCCTTATTCTAAAGCAAAAACAAAAAGACTCAAATCCCTTCTAGTTCCTGGGCCTGATGTTTTCAGGTCTTTTCTTCAACGCCTTATCCACTTTAGTTCTCACGTCAGTGACGTCACCTCTCCAATCCAGTTGGTATATTCGGAATTGGGAAACCATATGGCCCAGCTCACCACTAACTTGAACAAACCATATGCCGCTCTCAATTGTCAACAGTCAATATCCCTAGAGCTCGAAATCAACTCCATCTCTTTCCCAATCTTCTCGAGAAAACAGGCCCATTAGCAGTTGTTAATTATCTTTTGATTATTATTTTTTTTAGGTGAAAAGAGAGAATAATATTCATAAATAAATAAGAGCTATCCCTAAGTCTGGGGAACTCATTCCCATTCATGTCAGCAGACAAGAACATCCCCAGACCAGAAAGCTAGCATTCAAGATGATGATAGACAAAAGAAGGCAGGTTGTGACCCATATTGGCCAGAAATCAGTAAACCTGTTGGCTTCCCTTAGCACATGTTATAGTTGAACATTAGGAATAGCTGCCAACGTGGTTCTGCAATCCAAAATTAAAGTATTAAGAGGATGATCCCCATCTGCATTTTCTGATTGTTTTGTTGAATTGGTTTCCTTTCCAGATCATTCCTCAATTGAAGAGATTGTCCTTATCAGAAGATGACATTGCTATGATAACTGATTGCCGATTTAAACAAGATTTTTTTTTCAAAATAAAAGTCCTTCGGATTTACTATGGTGGAGGATCGATTATTTTTCCAATTGGCGCCCTCGGAAGATTCTACAATTTGGGAAAACTTGTTTTAACATCCTGTTCTCTCAAAGAGTTATTCCCTTCACATGGAGAGGTTATAGAAGAACAGAAAAACCTTGAGACACTCTCGAGGATTAAAACATTGGAGTTGAACAGCGTTGTTAATCTCAGGCATGTTTGGAGCAGGGACTTGTCAAGTGTTCTTCAAAATCTTGAAAAACTTAGAGTAATTGGGTGTAATGATTTGATTAGTTTACCAACATCCATGGCATCAGTCAAGAATCTCACAACTTTGGAGCTACGTAGTTGCCATAAAATGGAAAACCTGGTTGCAACTGCAACAGTCCAAAGCCTGGTGCATGTAAAGAGTATGACTGTAAGCCGATGCATTAAGCTAACTGAAATAGTTGGAAGCCAAGGAGATACAACACAAGATCCCATTATTTTTAGCAGTTTGAGATATTTGAAACTTGAATGTTTGACAAGACTAGCATGCTTCAGTTCTGGGAATTACATCTTCGATTTCCCATATATGGAGCAACTAATTGTGGAACAGTGCCCTAAATTGGAGATCTTCTCTAAGACAGTTCCAAAAACACCACGGCTGCTGCAACTACAGGGAGGGAAATTGTGGAATTTGGAAGGTGACCTCAATACCAGCATACAAAGAATGTATACGGAACAGGTATGAATTGATTCATAAAAATTTTCTAATCATTTTACATAGCATGAGCCTAAGATTAGCCACCAATTATGTTTTTCTTGGTTTTCCGTAGTTCTTTTTCTCTGTTAATTTACTGATATGGTTTTGTGTCATAATTAGCAGTTAATGTTTTGGTCTTTGCAGGTTGGATATGTTGGTTTGTCTGCTTTGAGTCTCTCTGAGTTTCCTCAACTGATGCAAAATTGGCATACTAGGAACCTTGAACTTTTAGAACTTAGATGGGTTCAATATCTGGACATTTGTAATTGCAACAGCTTGAGATGCTTGTTAACCCCCTCCATGGTCAGGAGTCTTGTGCTACTCATGAATTTGAATGTCCAAGACTGCAAAACAATGGAAGCAGTGGTAATGGAAGAAGGTGTAGAAAATGTGATAATGGAAGGGGGAGTAGAAAATAAGATAATACTCCCCCATCTGATGCGCATTAATCTGCACTCTTGTTCGGACCTGACAAGTTTCTATATGGGAAGTTGCACACTACAATGTCCGAGTTTAAAAATAATTAATGCAGCTAATTGTCAAAAAATGGTTACATTCACTTTGTCATTCTCCGTAGAACAAGCCAAAGAGGATTCTCAAGCCTTTTTCAGCAAAAAGGTTAGTTTCTTGGTGAAAACTTTCTGTTCTAAATTTATGTTGTATATAAAGAAGGTATAAATGACTAATTAGCCACTCATTGCTGACAAAGTTAAAGATTAAAGATGCTACAGTTCAAGAAATAGATCTATATTCAAACCCCAAACAACAGATTTATAGTTATATACATTCGTGTCCTTGCTTTAGGAAATTTTGATTAAACTAATACATTGTCTTATGTTAATTAAATAACAAAAATGTTGTTGATGAATTGAAAACTCTCTTTTCAGCTTGTATTTCCCAACTTGGAGATCTTGAGACTGAGTTCTCTTAACATTCAACAAATATGGCGTAAGCAAGCTGATTGTGCTCAAAATTTATTGCGTTTGAGGGTGGTTGACTGTGCTAATTTGAAATATCTATTCATATCCTCTATGTTTAAAACTTTTGGGAAACTGCAATGGCTTGAGATCCGTAATTGTGGAATGATGGAAGAGGTAATAGTGATAGAAGCATTAGCAGAAGAAGAAAGGATGTACAAGATGGTCTTTCCAAAACTGGACCACTTGCTACTACAAGACCTCCACAAACTTACAAGATTTTGTTTTGGAAGTTTAGTTGAATTCTCCTGCCTTAGAGACCTTCATGTAATCAAATGTCCATTGATGAAGACATTCATCTCTAGCTCTATTTCAGGAAACATGACAGCTAGTTCTGAAGAAGTGGAGAATACTTGTACACCACCTCTCTTCGATGCAAAGGTGATTTCTTCTTTATACATTTCCTTTACTTTTCATTTGTGAAGTCTGGTATAACATCACTATATGTTGTAGTTTCACCCCATAATCTTTTACATATTTTAAAATTTAGATTCCATAAATCGTTTATTAAATTGTCCCTCTGATTATGTTTTCTTGTTAATGCAATTGGTTAAAATCTTCAGGTGGGATTCCCTAGTGTAGAGAAAATAGTGATTGGGTCTATGGAGAGCTTGAACAAGATATGGCAAGACCAACTTGATGCAGATTCTTTTTGCCAATTAAATTACCTTTGTGTAAATTCATGTGGAAAGCTATTGAACATTTTCCCGTTAACCATGTTGGAAAGGCTTCAGAAACTAGACAAGCTGGAGATATGGAATTGCAATGCGCTAGAAGAGATAGTCGATTCACAAGGGATTGGTGCTATCCAATCACAATCTCAAATAACCACTTAGTCAACTTTGGTAGAAACTCCCATTAAGTTAGTCTTGCCAAAATTGACACACCTTCATCTTAATGGGCTACCCAAACTGAAGGGTTTCTGTTGTCAAATGCTTGATACTGAATGGCCATCATTGAAAAAATTGGAGGTGTATAGATGTGACCAAGTGCAGATATTTGCTTCAGAATTTTCGAGCTTCCAAAGAACTAATGGGGATGACCAAATTGGAATTGGGATCAACTGTCCTATTTTCTCAGTCAACAAGGTAAGAGCTCTAAGTATATTCATAGAAGCGTGTGTCTGTAGATATGCAGTTGGTTTCAAGTAAAGCTTTTATCTTGGTTTATTAACATTTGCAAATTGAGGTAATCATGTGCATAGTTTATGTAAAATATTTAAAAAATCATAACGAATAATTAACTCATCATAGTTGGCTCAAATGGAGCTCAGCAACTTGAAATTTAAACTAAATAATCTCTTTTCTGGACAAGTAAGGTAATTTAAAGAAGTACGCTCATGTATCGAATGCACTTGCATTAAAGCCTAGCTTTTCTCTTGACCAAACATATTCATAAGTATATTCTATATCTAATACAATTTCAATATATGTTTATTTTTTGCATCGGCTGATTAAGAAAACCAAACTATTTTTTTGAGAAAAATTTATAGAGATAATATTTTTTTGTGGATTTATGTAATATAGTTCAGAGTGTACATTAAAAGTTTAGTTTTCTTTTTAAATTTACTAAAATACATTTAATAAAATAAAATAAAATAAAGTTTCATTTAAGGTATTTTAGTAAATTCATATGGTGGATTTCATTTTTAATGTACAGTCCATTCTGGAAAACATATTTTTTGCATTTTTTTTTATTATTTAGGAACTTGAGGTAATTATTAATCTATCTAAAGATATAAGAATTTAGAAATTTTTTCCTTTTCTTTTGTCTTGTGATAATAGATGTTTGATTTCTAATTCATGAATTTATAATAATTCAAAATTTGCATATATTTACGTTTTTCTAATATTAAACTAAAAATTAGAGATGGCTAACAAAATCTGAATATTAAGCAATTCTTGCTCATATTTATCAGCTGGTGATAAGTTAAAAACAGTAGATGTGCATTGTTCTATGAACAGTTTGCATCCAGCTTCTTTTATTCATTTTTAACATATTATATTTCCATATTTCAGGCTACATTCCCTTGTCTAGAAGAACTGGAATTGGATAAGAATGATATTATGAAGGAGATATGGCATGGACAATATCCAGGGGATTATTTTCCCAAACTAAAAGTTCTTAAACTCACCCAATTACCTGAGCAATCAGTTGTCCACCCTTTCCTCCTTCAGTCACCGAATCTTGAAAAGCTTGTTGTGAGTAAAGCTTCTTTTCTTGAACTATTCCAGTGTCAAGGACTTGGTGATAAGGAAAAACCTGCACTTGCATTTACTGAGTCAAGTGAATTAAGGTTATCTGAACTTTTGGAATTAGTTTTCTATAACCTGAAAACCCTGGAAGTTTTACAGTGTAGCAACTTAAAGAATTTGGTGCCATCCTTTGTATCTTTCAAGAGTTTGACAACTTTGGAAGTATCTGCATGTCATGAACTCATAAATTTAATTGAATACTCAACGGCGAAAAGCATGGTGCAGCTCACAAAAATGAGTATAAGTAAATGTCAAATGCTAAAAGAAATTGTGGCGTGTGTGGGTGAAGAAGTTAAGGATGGCATTGCCTTCATCCAACTCAAGTATTTGCTACTTCGTGGTCTACCAAGACTAGCAAGCTTTTGCTCAGGGAATTGTGGCTTTGAATTTGCATCTTTGGAAGAAGTAATTGTGAAGGGTTGCCCAAATATGCAGATCTTCTCTCAAGGGGAATGTATCACCACTAATAAGTTGCAAAAAGTGAAATTGACCGTGGATGAAGACGAAGGGTTTTGGGAAGGCAACCTTAACTCCACCATAAAAAAGATGTTCACAGAAAAGGTATGCATTAATTCAAACTCTTTCCTTATGTTTTTTTACCTTAATTTCCAAGTTTTATGTACTACTCCGAGCCCTTTGTTTGGTAAAATATAAGTTCTGTCAATAATAAGTGTACGAAGTAGCACCAGTAGCACCAATAGCACCAATAACAAAGGCTTTGTGCAAAAGAATAAACTGAAAGAAAACAAATTGTAACACCTTGTTAGTCAAATTTGTTACATGGGTTCTTTGCTTTACCCTGGCATATATCCCTGTCCGATCCTTATACTGACATTTGAAATTTCTATTGACTTGACATAGCACCTGTATGTATAGCCATTTATGGAAATAGATTATTTGTCTTGGCATCGTAACATAATTTTAAGGATCTATAGCACTCAGTGTTTGGAACTTGATATAGATAATCGATCATTAATTAGAAACCTATAATTCAAAGCAATTAACCATGGTTTTATGGGATGAAGAGGCTAATTTCTTTGGATCAGAAAGAAAATGAATATGAAACTATCCAAGAACTTAAATTCCCAATTAAATTTTTGGAATAGGTTATTTGTGGTGGGATCACAACATAATTTTAAGGAAAATTCTGAGAAAATATATGCCGTGAATTACTATTAGGCATAAACTGTAATTTGAATATTTTAAGGAATTTTTTTCTTTTTCTTTTTCTTTTTTTAAATAAAAAGTGAATTTATTTATTAACTGTCTATAAAAAAAATCATTGTCTTTGTCCAAATCTTTTTTTGGCCTTTGTCTTTGTCCAATTTAATTTTTATCATAAGCACAAAGCTTTCTTACTTTTATTATGAATATAATTGCTATCATTTGTTTCTTGTCATTTAACCAGCAATTAATCTATTGCATCTTGTAGGCTGGATGTTATGGGTTGGAGGATTTGAAACTTTCTGAATTTCCTGAATTGATTGAAATTTGGTACCAAAAGCCTCAAGAAAACTTGCCCTTCAGAATGTTTAAATTTCTAGAAGTTTGCAATTGTAGCAATTTGACATACCTTCTAACCCTTTCCATGGCATTGGGCCTTGTACAATTGGATGTTCTGAAAGTCACAAACTGTGCCATGATGGAGCAAGTGATAACAGGAGAAGGAGCTGAGGAGACATTTCCTCTCCTAAACTCTATTCTTTTAGATTCTTGTTCCATCTTGACGTGTTTCTATGAGGGAAGCAGTAGGCTCAAGTTTTCAAGTTTGAAACAAATTATTGTAGCGAACTGCCCAAATCTGTTGACGTTTGCTTCTTCATTTTCAAGAGAGCAAGGGAATGAGATGATTGCCAATGACAGAGGAAGTGAACAAAGGCCTGAAATCCCTACTCAACCTTTCTTCAGTGAGACGGTTAGTTATTTCCTAAAAATTATTTAGTTAACTTCTTTTTACGGAGTTTTTTTATTTTTGATGTTGATGTTGCCATATTATTTTTTATCTCCACATAATTACCTTTATAGATATGTCAATTACTTTAAATGATTGTGGATTGAAATTCTTCCGCGTCCTCCCTTAAAAATTAAAATAAAATTACTCAATTTAAGAAAATTGATTGATTGCCAAAATTATGTTAAACTGTCCCAAATGTCTCTACACGTCATTTCCCTTGTTTTTGCCTCTATATGTTGTAGTTTCACCACATAATCTTTTACATTTTTTAAATTCCAAATAGCGTTTATTAAATTATCCCTCTGATTATGTTTTCTTGTTAATGCAATTGGGTAAAATCTTCAGGTCGCATTCCCTTGTATAGAGAAAATAACGATTCGCTCTATGGGGAGCTTGAACAAGATATGGCAAGACCAACTGGATGCAGATTCTTTTTGCCAACTAAATTACCTTTGTGTAAATTCGTGTGGAAAGCTATTGAACATTTTCCCGTTAACCATGTTGGAAAGGCTTCAGAAACTATTCATGCTGGAGATATTGAATTGCAATTCGCTAGAAGAGATAGTCGAGTCACAAGGGCTTGGTCCTATCCAATCACAATCTCAAATAACCACTAAGTCAACTTTGGTAGAAACTCCCATTAAGTTGGTCTTGCCAAAATTGACACGCCTTCGTCTTTGTAGGCTGCCCAAACTGAAGGGTTTCTATTGTCAAATGGTTGATACTGAATGGCCATCATTGGAAAAACTGGAGGTGTATGGATGTGACCAAGTGCAGATATTTGCTTCAGAATTTTCGAGCCTCCAAAGAGCTAATGGAGATGACCAAATTAGAATTGGGATCAACTGTCCTATTTTCTCAGTCAACAAGGTAAGAGCTGTAAGTATATTCATAGAAGCATGTGTCTGTAGATATGCAGTTTGTTTCAAGTAAAGCTTTTATCTTGGTTTATTAACATCTGCAAATTGAGGTAATCATGTGCATAGTTTATGTAAAATATTTAAAAAATCATAACGATAATTAACTCATCATAGTTGGCTCAAATGGAGCTCAGCAACTTGAAATTTAAACTAAATAATCTCTTTTTTGGATAAGCAAGGTAATTTAAAGAAGTACGCTTATGTATTGAATGCACTTGCATTAAAGCCTAGCTTTTCTCTTCAGCGAACATATTCATAAGTATATTCTATATATAATACAATTTCAATATATGTTTACTTTCTACATCGACTGATTAAGAAAGCCAAACTAGTTTTTTAAGAAAAATTTATAGAGGTAACATTTTTTAGGGATTTATGTAATATAGTTTAGACTGTACATTAAAAGTACAGTTTTGTTTTTTTGGTAAATTTATTAAAATACTTTTAACAAAATAAAATAAAGTTTCATTCAAGATATTTTAATAAATTCATATGACAGACTGCATTTTTAATGTACAGTCCACTTTGGAAAACACTTTTTTTTTGCATTTTTTATATTATTTATGAACCTGAAGTAATTATTAATCTATCTAAAGATATAAGAATTTTGAATTTTTTTTCCTTTTCTTCTGTCTTGTGGTGATAGGTGTTTGATTTCTAATTCATGAATTTATAAAAATTCAAAATCTGCATATATTTCAGTTTTTCTAATATTAAACTAAAAATTAGAGATGGCTAACAAAATCTGAATATTAAGCAATTCTTGCTTATATGTATCAGCTAGTGATAAGTTAAATACAGTAGATGTGTATTATTCCATAACCATTTTGCATCCAGCTTCATTTATTCATTTTTAACATAGTATATTTCCATATATATATTTCAGGCCACATTCCCTTGTCTAGAAGAACTGGAATTGAATAAGAATGATGTTATGAAGGAGATATGGCATGGACAATATCCAGGGGATTATTTTCCCAAACTAGAAGTTCTTAAACTCACCAAATTACATGAGCAATCAGTTGTCCACCCTTTCCTCTTTCAGTCACCGAATCTTGAAAAGCTTGTTGTGAGTGAAGCTTCCTTTCTTGAACTATTCCACTGTCAAGGACTCGGTGATAAGGAAAAACCTGCACTTGCAGTTACTGAGTCAAGTGAATTAAGGTTATCTGAACTTTTGGAATCAGTTTTCTATAACCTGAAAACCCTGGAAGTGTTACAGTGTAACAACTCAAAGAATTTAGTGCCATCCTTTGTATCTTTCAAGAATTTGACAACTCTGGAAGTATCTGCATGTCATGAACTCATAAATTTAATTGAATACTCAACAGCGAAAAGCATGGTACAGCTCACAAAAATGAGTATAAGTAAATGTCAAATGCTAAAAGAAATTGTGGCGTGTGTGGATGAAGAAGTTAAGGATGGCATTGTCTTCATCCAACTCAAGTATTTGCTACTTTGTGGTCTACCAAGACTAGCAAGCTTTTGCTCAGGGAATTGTGGCTTTGAATTTGCATCTTTGGAAGAAGTAATTGTGATGGGTTGCCCAAATATGCGGATCTTCTCTCAGGGGGAATGCAGCACCACTAATAAACTGCAAAAAGTGAAATTGACTGTGAATGAAGATGAAGGGTTCTGGGAAGGCAACCTTAACTCCACCATAAAAATGATGTTCACAGAAAAGGTATGCATTAATTCAAAATATTTCCTTATGTTTTCTACCTTAATTTCCAAGTTTTATGTATTACTCCTAGCCCTTTGTTTGGTAAAATGTAAATTTATGTACTACTCCGAGCCCTCTAGTAAAAAGTAAATTTTGCCAATAATAAGTATACGAAGTAGCACCGATAGCACCAATAATAAAGGCTGCTACCAAATCAAGTTTTGTGGAAAAGAATAAACTTAAAGAAAACAAATTGTAACACTTGTTTAGTTAAATTTGTTAGACGGGTTCTTTGCTTTACCCTGGCACATATCCATGTCCGACCCTTGTACTGACATTTGAAATTTCTATTGACTTGAATAACACCTGTATGCATAGCCATTTAAAGGAATATATTATTTGTCTTGGGATCATAACATAATTTAATGATCTACAGTGCTCGTGTTTGGAACTTGATATAGATAAAGAACCATTAACTAGAAACCTATTCAAAGCAAATAACCAAGGTTTTGAGGGAGGAAGAGACTGATTTCTTTGGATCAGAAAGAAAATAAAAATGAAAGTATTCAAAAACTTAAATTCACAATTAAAATTTTAGAATAGGTTATTTGTCATGGGATTGTAACATTATTTTTAAGAAAAATTCTAAGAAGATGCTGTTAATTACTGATAGTCACAAATTGTAATTTGAAAATTTTAAGGAATTTTTTTTGTCTTTGTTCGATCTAATTTTTATCAAATGCAAAAGGTTATTTTTTTTCTTTTGTTATTAATATAATTGCTATCGTTTGTTTCTTGTCGTTTAGCCAGCAATTAATGTATTGCATCTTGCAGGCTGGATGTTATGGGTTGGAGGATTTGAAACTTTTCGAATTTCCTGAATTGATTGAAATTTGGTATAAGAAGCCTCAAGAAAGCTTGCCTTTCAAAAGGCTTAAATTTCTAGAGGTTTGTAATTGTAGCAATTTGACATACCTTCTAACCCCTTCCATGGCTTTGGGCCTTGTACAATTGGATGCTTTGAAAGTCACAAACTGTGCCATGATGGAGCAAGTGATAATTGGAGAAGGAGCTGAGGAGATGTTTCCTCTACTAAACGCTATTCTTTTGGAGTCTTGTTCCAGCTTGACGTGTTTCTATGAGGGAAGCACTAGGCTGAAGTTTTCAAGTTTGAAACAAGTTACTGTAGCAAACTGCCCAAATTTGTTGACTTTTGCTTCTTCATTTTCAAGAGAGCAAAGGAAAGTGATGACTGCCAATGACAAAGGAAGTGAACAAAGGCCTGAAATCCCTACTCAACCTTTCTTCAGTGAGACGGTTAGTTATTTCCTAAAAATTATTTGTTTTACTTCTTTTTATCGAGTCTTTTTACTTTTGATGTTGATGTTGCTATATTATCTCCACATAATTACCTTTACAGATATATGTCAATTACTTTAAATGATTCTGGCTTGAAATTCTTCCACTTCCTCACTCAAAAATTAAAATAAAATTACTAATTTAAGAAAATTGGTTGATCGGTAAAATTATGTTAAACTATCCCAAATGTATATGCATGTCATTTCTCATGTTTTTGCTTTGGATTGTCATTATTTCTTTCACAAATAAATACATTCCAAACCCAATGCATAGTCAAAATCTGTAGAATAGTGCAGTTACCTCTGGTTTATTCTGTTGCATTGGCCTTTGATGAAACTTCTGCTTTTGTTCATCTTCTAACCTCCTCTGCTGGTCAGTCCCAAAGCACAAAGAGCAAGATTTAGACACTGATCTGGATAAACAACCATCCACCTTGCCTTTGGTCCACATAAATGATCCCCTTCCAATCAATTTGAGAACCATATCGACAAACTAGTCCTCCCCTTTAAATAACCTTTCATTCTTGCATATCCACACAATCCAAGTTATAACATTACAGCAAAGACCAAACTTCCCTCTTAGATCTGCCTACCATCCCAAAATTGACTGATCATATAACTGGACTATACTCCGTGGAAACATATGGAGCTAAGACCCTACCAATAATAGTTCCAACTATTGATGAGGAATACATTGATCAACTCCTCCAACTCTACCATTTTTAACATGATTGACCATCCTTTGTCTCATCCATCAAGAAAATGGTAAGCTTTTACTACAAAGTGAATTCTATGTTGTGCAGGTTGTGCTACCAAACCTAGAGGAGCTGTTATTACGCTGGATGAATGTTAACATCAAATGGCACACTTCAATAACATATTTATGTTTGGAGAAACTGAAAAAATTAATCATTCAAGGCTGTGATAATTTGGAGTACTTATTCTCATCTTCTATAGCTAGAGGTCTAGTGATGCTCGGTCAACTTGAAATAAGGGAATGCAAGAGGATGAGAGAGATTATTGTTGCAGAGAATGCAAAAGAAAAAGAGAATTTAATTTTTCCTCAATTGAACTTCCTATTGCTAAAAGACCTCCAAAACATTGTTGGATTCTACTCAGGAAATTGTATTGTTGAATTCCCATCTTTAAAGCAACTGCAAGTATTGAACTGCCCAGTGTTGGAAGGATTCATTGTTAAATATTTTGCAAGCACAAATATCATTGCTGACAAACAACCATTCTTCAATGAACAGGTAAATTTTACACATTTCACTTGCATTTTGTTTTCTCATTAATTTAAGGAACTAATCTAAATGTGGCATGATGCATTCATTATGTAGGTTGCTTTTCCCAACTTGGAAAGTCTAACTCTCACCCACTTGAAAAACTTGGATATCATATGGCACAACCAATTCCATGCAGATTCTTTTGGCAAACTAAAATCATTATCAGTTAGAAATTGTGAGAAGTTATCCACTGTTTTTCCATTTGCTGATATGTTGGGAAGAATATGGAAATCCCTAGAGAAGTTAATTATATCTCAATGTGGCTCGCTAGAAGTGGTATTTGGAATTGCCGAGTTCAATGTCAAACAAACACATGCTATAATAGACACCAAGTTGAGAGAATTGAATATTCAACGTCTACCAAAATTGAAGTATGTGTGGAATAAGGATCCCCAAGGGATACTCACTTTCCACAGCTTGGAATTAGTAGTTATAGCACTTTGTGGGAGACTCAAATTTTTGTTTCCAGCTTCAATAGGCAAAAGCCTTTCGCAACTTCAAAAGCTACATTTATGGGCGTGCAGGGTGGAGGAAGTTGTTACAATGGGAGAACAGGGAACTGAAGCAATTGTTAACTTCAAATTTCCTCGATTGTCAAGTCTTAAGCTTCAGTGGCTACCAAGACTCCAATGTTTTTATCCAGGGCAGCACACGACAACGTGGCCAATATTAAAAAAGTTTTACTTTTCCCATTTCAATCAAGTAAAGAGAACAAATGGCAATTGGCAACTTGACTTCCCCGTACGACTACCACTTTTCTCCATAGAGAAGGTACATAGCTTCTTACCAAAATAAATAATAAACGAATTCCTTGCTTCAAATATATGTAATGAAATGAGAGTAATTTCTAGTAATCTACTATACATGGAAATAATATTGAATTGTAGTGGTAATTACTTGTTTGGTAAGACCTGAATGGTTTTCCTGGTAAAATATTGTTTGTGTGACAAAGGCATGTGACAATTCCAATTATTTCTTTTATTGTGCCATTATTGGTTTGGAATCTTTATGTTATTAGATTTCAGAGTATTTGGTATGTGAATACGTGATACAACTAAGGCTCACCACCCAAAAATGCCCCATGGAGTAGTTTTTATTCTTTTTTTTTTTTATCAGTTGTTTTTATTCAATAAGTAATGAAAGTGTATTTGGTTGCTATGTGAAATAATGCACAATATTTTTTAATAATTTTCTCCTTTTCATAAACAAAATTAAGATCTCATTAAGAAAAAAATATACAACTTACACAGAAGTTTTATTGCATTGGATTCCTTTTCAGGTCATACCTCAGTTGGAAGAATTGTCACTATCAAGACATGACATTGCAGTGATATGTGAACGCCAATTTAAAGAAGACCTCTTTTTCAATGTCAAAGTTCTTAAAATTCATGACCATCTTGATAATGAATCAGATGTTTTACCCATCAGATTACTACAAAGATTTTGCCATCTAGAAGAGCTTGTCGTGGATTTTTGTAATGTCGAAGAACTGTTCCCTTCAAAAGGAGAAGTTGAAGAACAAGAGAAACACATTGAAATTGAGACACTTTCAAGGATTAAAACATTACATCTAATTGGCCTTCCATACCTCAGGCGTATATGGAGCCGTGACTCATCAATTGTTCTTCAAAATCTTGGAACCCTTCTAGTTTATATGTGTGACAGTTTGATTAGCTTGTCAACATCACCTGCCTCTTTCCAGAATCTCGTAACTTTGAACATCAGCAATTGTGGAGCAATGGTAAACTTGGTTTCTATCTCAATAGTCCAAAGTCTGGTGCAGTTAGAAAGAATGACTGTATCAGAGTGCTACATGCTGACTGAAATAGTTGGAAATGAAGGAAATGAAACCCAGGGTTTAATCATGATCACTTTTACTAAATTAAGATTTCTGAGACTTAAATGCCTGCCAAGATTAGAAAGCTTTTGTTCAGGAAATTTCACGTTCAAATTTCCATCTTTGAAAAAGTTAATTGTGATTCAGTGCCCCAAATTAATGATCTTCAATGAAGGTGACCTAAGCACACCGCTACTGCAGAGAGTAGAATTAATTGAAGGAGAGGACAAGTGGTGTTGGGAAAGTGACCTTAATACCACCATACAAAGAATGTATATGGAAGAGGTATGAATTGATTTCTAGATATTTTTGAAGCCACTCATTCATTTTATAAAAAATTATTTGATTTATTTATATTTTATTATATATAACTACCTTTTTTTTCTTTTTTTTTCGGCACTGGCGTAGGTCGGATTTGTTGGGTTACGAACTTTGGTGTTGTCAAATTTTCCCAAGTTGATGGAAACATGGCATATCAAGAATCCTCAAGAACTCTTGGATTTTAGACAACTTCAGGTGCTGGAAATTTGTGATTGTAGCAAGTTCAGGTACCTATTAACGGATTCAATGGCCTTGGGCCTCGTGGAACTTGTTCAATTAATAGTTAAAAATTGTGGGACAATGGAACAAGTAATAATGGGAGAAGGAGCAAAATATAAAATGGAATTCCCACATCTTTGGATGATCAATCTAGAGTCTTGCTTAGATTTGACAAGTTTCTATATGGGAAGTCATAGTCTTGAGCTTCCAAGTTTATATGATTTTATTGTAAAAGACTGCCCAAAAATGGTCACATTTGTTGCGTCTACATCCTCCAAAGGGCACAACAAAGAGGAATCCCAATACCTCTTTAGCAGCAAGGTTAGTTTCTTTTCCTCTTTTCCCTTTTTTTTTTTTTTTTTTACAGCAACATGTTTATTTTTGATATTTACTTTTTGTCATTAAGATTTTACAGCATATTTATGTTTGCTTTTCACATGTTGGTGTTTCCATCTCTAGCTACCTCTTTAACCACATGAATGAATCTCTTTAAATAAGTTCCACTTAATATACGATTAGAAAATAAAGAATCTTGGTTGGTACATCACCACTTAAAATGTGAAGTTACTCAAGTTTAAAAATAGGATTATTGATCCAAAAAATATTTTTCTTCTTTTTTGCCCTGCATTGACCCAAATAATGTTTAAGTTTAAAAAGAGTTGACTATTTTCTACTCAAAATATCAATTTACTTCACATAATTGCATGTCATTTTCATGTTCTTGCTTTTGGATTATCCTTATAATGTTTTTAGTTTAATCAATAAAAACAAAAACTTTTTCACAAAGTTTCTATTAGGTTGAGTTTTCTCAACTTGAAGTTTTTGAAATTGTCTTCAGCTAAAATTAAGCAAATATTATAGTCATCTTCCTACTATTTTATATTAATAGACTAACCAAGAATCTTTGCAGGTAGAGACTCCTAACTTGGAGTTTTTGAATCTATCTTCAAATAACATTCAGCGAATTTTGAGCAATTCGACTCTAGAAATCTCTTCTTATGTTCAAAATTTAAGAAAGTTGTGTGTGGAGGGTTGTGGTAATTTGGAATATCTATTGACATCCTCCATGGTTAAGAGTTTTGAGCAACTGAATTGGCTCAAGATTTGTGATTGCAATATGATGGAAAAGGTAATACTTGTAGAAGAACCAATGGATGAGGAAAAGTTGTGCAAGATTTTCTTCCCTAACCTGGAGTTCCTACTGCTCGAAGACCTTCCGAAGCTCACAGGATTTTGTTCTGGAAATTACTTGGAATTACCATGCCTTTGGAAACTTAAGATAAGCAAGTGTCCTGTGCTGAAGACTTTCATCTCTAGCTCTTTTTTTGGAGACATGATAGCTAGTTCTGAAAATGTCAAAAACACTTGTGCACTTTCTCTCTTTGATGCAAAGGTGATTTCTCCTCTTTTTTTTTTTCCTTTTTTTTTTATTTTTTAATGTCTTATAATGCTATTATTATTTTCTTGTCCTCATAAAGTTTTACATTTAAAAAAAATTAGATTCCAATATTTTCATTTCATTACATCTATGATTATATTTAATTTTAATTGAATCATGTAAATCTTTAGGTGGCATTCCCCAAATTAAAACATTTGGTAATTGAACATGTGAAGAGCTTGAATAAGATATGGAAAGACCAGCTCGAAGTAGATTCTTTTTGCCAAATAACTTCGGTGAGTGTGGTTTCATGTGAAAAGTTATTGAATATTTTCCCATTTAGTATGTTGGAAAGGTTTCAAAGACTAGACAAGCTCCAAATATGGAGCTGTGATTCACTTGAAGAGATACTTGAGTCTCGTGAACCTGTTGTTAGCCGATCACAAACTCAAAAGGCCACTCCGCCACCTTTGTTGGAAACAGTTACGTGCTTGGAGGATGATGTGAAGGATGAGATTGTCTTTAGCAAACTCAAGTATTTGCAACTTTGTGATTTGCCTAGACTTTCAAGCTTTTGCTCGGTTAAATGCAAGTTTGAGTTCCCATTTTTGGAAGATGTGATTTTGATGGATTGTCCAAGTATGCAGACCTTCTCCATGGATGAAATAAGAACGCCAAAACTACAAAAAGTAAAATTGACTAGAGATGAAGATGAAGGCTTTTGGGATGGCAACCTAAACTCGACCATACAACTACAGTTCATGCAAAAGGTATGCATTAATTCGAAAGATCTCCTTAGGTTTTTCATTTTTTAAGTTCTATCTCTTTTCCTTTTTTGCACAAATCTTTATTTAAAGTCTTCAAAATAACAGGAAAAACTAGAAAGACAGGTATGAACGCTTAATAGATTATGATTTTAAAAGGGGAAATTTTTGCTACAATTTTTCCTTTCACTGTCAGTATTGTGTTGTTATGTCTACAGAGTCAAGGTGATTCTGAAAATTGAGATCAAAGAAATAGCGGCTCCTGTCCTTTCCAAGTGAAATTTGATGGTGAGTTGGTCTTATTCTTCCATCATCTCTACACTTGTTTGATAAAGGTACATCTCTTGTAAACATGCATGGAGGTATATTGAGGCTGCTTGCTTAGTTCTTTGCAGGTCTAAATGGTGTATGCATAAGTTGGATGTGAAGTTGTCACACTGCTTGGTGGCCAGAATGTTGCCTCACTAACTAAAATTGATCCCCTTTTTCTACAAAAAAAAAAAAAAAAGGAAAAAAGAAAAAAAAAATAGATCTTTTCTATTTCTCAAACTCATGTGTAACTTGTAATATGTATTATTAAATTCATGCAAAGACTTTAAATTTATGGGTTATTTTATAGTATTAAAGAGAATATCCTTCAAGAAAACAAATGATGCTTTCTTATATATACTTGTATGATAAAAGTACATTTCTTATACATATGGAACTATATATACTGAGAGGTTGCTTTCTTAATTCGTATAAGGTCTGAATGATACACTCATAAATCATAAGTTGGATATGAACTTTACAAAGTTGCCACATTGCTTGGCGCCCAAAATTAAATTGTCTGTTGTTTATGATGTTTTTAAGACAGAAAGTATTCAAAAGACAAATGTTACTTTATAATTATCAATTGGGTTCATATGTTTGTTTTAAATTAGAATATGGTTTCTTCATTTTGATGGGTTTGCTATATTTTTTTTCTTTTATCCACAAAGCAAACCATAACTTTAAATATAAATTTTAACCTTCACATGCCAAACAAATTTGGGTGCCTCGGGTATTTCCTTTTTCTTTTGTGATACGTAGATCCCCGGGAG